CAGTGAGTAACTGTAAAAAGGAAAAGCATTAACATTAATTTTAATTGCAACCATATAGTCTAAAATTTTCCCATTAATTTCTATAATGGTAATTTCATACATTTCTTTTGAACATGCTTCATTATTTGGAGTGTGCAGTCTTCCACCAGTATTTAGTAACTCTACAATTCCCATTGGATCTAGACCAGGATAAGGTACTCTACCAAGACTGAACACTTCCCAACACAATACACCATAAGACCACTGTAAAGAACAGAATGTAACAATCTACATTGATAGGGCATATCATTTCTTGCAATTGCACTGACCACATCAGATTTTTCAGAGAACAATCCATCATGAATACTTTCTAGTGCCATCCATTTCAATGGTAGTTTAACAGGTGATGAGTTATTATCACCTTCCAGTTGTCTGAAATAGTTTTGAGAATATATATCCTCAGATAGGCCAAAATCAGATACTTTAATGATACCATCATCATCAATCCTATAATAAATAATGTATTTGTGCATGAACAGTTTAATTAGGCCACTAATACAATTAGTTACTCTAGTAAAGAATTAACTTTGTATTCTTGGAATCTATTGTAGTGGGCATGTTACAAACATGTGGCAATTTTTCTGGCTTTACATCCTTTGACTATTTACACATACAAATTATAAATAATGTATTTGTACATGAACAGTTTAATTAGGCCACTAATACAATTTGTTACTCTAGTAAAGAATTAACTTCGTATTCTTGGAATCTATTGCAGTGGGCATGTTACAAACATGCGGTAATTTTTCTGGCTTTACATCCTTTGATTATTTACACAAACAAATTATGACTTACATGCAGTTTCTAGCAGCTAAATCACGATGAATGAATTTCTGTGAAGCTAAGTAGCACATTCCATTGCCAACTTGTAAACAAATGGAGAGTAACTGTTTCCTGACATTCTGTATAATATCCTCTTCACTGGTATCAGCTACTGTAAGATTAGGTCTCTCTTTCTTGAGGTAAGACAATAAACTTCCTCTTGACATGAAAGGCATGATAATGTATGGAGCTGGTCCAAGATCAAGACACACACCAATCAGTGGTAATACATTTAAGTTATCAAACGACATCATTATAATGCACTCATCCAGTAGAGAATCAATATCACTCTTACTGTAAAAACCTGCAAATGTAATAATTATAATAATAAATATGCCCACAAAATAATAATTATAATACTTCT